CTCATTAAGCAGAAAAGTAAACTGGGCACAACACTCACGTGGGCCAACTCCCGCCTCGGCCACTCCGGATGATGTTCCCCCATTACATCGCTTCTCATTGGCCGATCAGACACCTCGGACACTCTGGCACGTGCACCAGCATTGACCGAATGCAGTAAGTGCCGAGGCAGCCGCCCCTGCTGCCCGAGTGATAACTAGTGGTTAGTAGTCTTTTCAGCTTGTGTTTTATGTCATGGGGCTGGCTGGCTGGCTGGCTGCATGTTTCGGCTGCCGGGAGTCAGGCAGGGTAAGCATGTGAAGAAGTTATGTATTGTATCAGGAATTTGGGATCAGCTGGGGATTCATGGGGCATGTCTGGATGAATGAATGGATCTGACATGCGGGATGATGATGGGGTGGGAGGGTCCGCTGGATACTACAGTATACTGTTGCTTAGATTTGGTCTCCACATGATTGATTAATGGCTATTGTTATTATTTATTGAGGGAGTATTTGTCGGATATCTCAAATAGTACCTCAGCTGGACCTGGAAAAGGTTCCGAACTCCGTGTTGTGTTCTTGGAGTTGGTGTCACTAAGTACAGAATCTGCACCATATAAAGTGTCATACTAGGATACTTATATGCCCGCTGTAGGTTTGGCTTCATGTGTAACATGAGCTACTACTTACACAACTCAAAAAGTATCGAACAATCCACTCGGGAAATTCAAGGCCTTGAAACTGCATGCACACAGCCGAGAGAGTTAATAAGTAGCACTCCTCACTTCTATTCCGAAGTTTTTATATCAACGAACAACAGACATATGTGAAGGTAAATGCTTCAAAACGTTACGCAGCTAGTGCCGCTTTCAGAGATAAAATAAGACATCAATCCATAATTATCCTAGTATTACAACGAGCAGGTTCGTAGATCTCATGGACTACTCTACTCGTCTTCCGGCTCGGATTCATACTCAAACTCATTCGGCACCGGCGCCTCCTCGCCGCCTTCCTCGTCCTCATCCACAGCCGTCAGTACGCCGGCAGCAGCGGCAGCTCCCGCAAACGGGCCCAGATCCGCACCGAAGGGGAAGCGCCCGGCTCCACGTTGAGGTGTCTGCAGGCCAGCGGCTCCCATGGTGGCCTGTAGTCGGTCCTGAAGGGACTCCGCAACATCCGCGGCAGGTGCAGGCTGTCTAGCCTCCCTGCTGGTTTCCTTGCTTGCCGTCATCTCAATCGTCTCGCGAGGCTCTTCGGGGGTCTTGTCAAGTACGACCACAACTCCGCCGGTAGGCTGCGTTGAAGTTAGCAAGGTATTGATCGCAATAGAACACAGAACATAGGAAGGGCAACGTACCCGCTTGACCGGCTCATACCGGGGATCAGGGAATGTGAGGTACTTGAGCTGCGCGGGAAGGACTCGAGACATGTTTTCAAGCTCATATCCGACCTTCTCCCGCTCAACCTTCTTCTTCTGTCCCTCGCCAGTATCCTTCTCACCGTCCTTGTTCTCTTCTTCCGTCTTCACTGCTGTCTCGTCCGTATCCATCTTGTCAGGCACCTGGTCCGACACCTTGGGAGTCGTAGGGGTCTGATCGATGTCCATGCTTTCGCGCCTTTGCTGCTTCTCCCGACGCTGTGCACGGCGCTTGGCCTGGGCGGTGGTCGAGAGGACCGCTGTCTTGACCTTCTCGGGCGCCTCTTCGGCCTTTACTTGCTGCTCTGGGGGGTAGTCGAAGAGGCTGGGTCGCGTGTTGCTGTGGAATTTGAAGTAGGGCACCTCGAGCTTCTGGTCGACACCAATGACGGAGGTCGGGGCGAAACTAAGGGACAGGAAGTGGGTGAGGGGAAACCAGTACCAGTACTGGACGAAGACGGCAGCACCAACGATACCGGGCATGTTCAGGTTGCCAGTTTGCGTCTGAAGGCTGATGGTGCAATTGCGACCACCGGCATCGATGATACCAAGGGCAACAGCGCAGCCGAACTTAGCCATCGCATCCTCGTGTCTATCACCGATCATCTTCATCATGACCTTGCGGAGCGAGCTGACACGGGGGTTCATGGCTTCGTTCTGTTGCACGAGGACCATGGCCAACGAGATCAGCGCTCCCTGTCTCACGAAGTCGGTTGAATCCTTGAGCATCGGCTCGAGCAGGTCAATGGCCTCATCCAGACCGGTTCCGGCGCAAGAGATACCCAGTGCCATTGCCGCACCATAACGAACATGAGGGTTGTATGACTCAGACAGAAGCTCAACCATACGAGGCACACTCTGGTGCTTCCTGAACAGAATGAATCCCAAGCTCAGAACAGCAATTCGCCGAACATCATCGTTCACATCGCTGACAGCAACATGAAGGAGCTTACGCACAGCCTTGTTGCTGCTGCTGCCACAGTAGGCAAGGGCGATAGTCATGATACCACCGTAGCGGAGAGCAGGGTCAGGGTCGCCGAGAAGGCCGTTGATCAACTCATCAGCAGCTTCCTGGCGACCATACATGATCAGGGCCATGCCCATGGCCAAACCCCGAACGATCTTCTCGTGTTGAGTGTCATGGGCATACTGAATCATATCCTCGAGGACCTTCATGTTACCTGTACCCAACATGATAAGACCCATGGCGAGGCCGACAGCCTCACCATTGATCGCCGAGTCGGTGTATAGCACGTTGCGAAGATCCTCATAAAGCCCCTCATCGCCACTAGCCATGCCTGCAACACCAAGACCCAGAGCTCCACCGTGCTGGATGACCTCATCTGTAGCCTTCTTGAAGTAATCCCGAATGACAGGAACAGCCATGCCACCATGGTTGGCGAAGATCAAACCATAAGCATACAGAGATCCTCCCTGACTGTAAATCGAGCTGGCTCCGCTGTGTCCTCCTGCTGCCACATTGGTGATGGAGCGTTCCTTGGGCAGGTAAGGTTGCAAGAGCTTTTGTCCCTGACTCAAGTTACCCCTGTGGATGACACCAAGAGCAGCCGTAGCCGTAAACTTGGACCAATTAACAGCTTTGCTCAACCAGTCGAGGTTATCCCGGAAGAACTTGTCGTGCGCTGTACCGGCATGCATGAAACCATTCGAGAGGGAGACTGCAGAGTGGAATATAGAGTTACGAGCTTCCAGGCTATCGCGGAGTTTGTTCATAATGGCTATATCGGCCTTGTTGTTGCGGAATAAGAATTCCACGTTCAACTGGTTGGTCTTGACGCCATCGAGAATGTCACGAATGCTCTTAAAGGCCGTGCGTGCTTCGGGTGAGATCTTAGCGTGCGAGTCCCCAATAGATCTAGACTGGCTGTCCAGCAGAGGATCAGACTCCTTCGACTCTTCTTGGTCCTCCCCTGCTGCCTCCTGTGCGGTCTCATCTTTCTCCGGCACGAGCTCCGAAATCTCCTGCCGAACCTTCTGCAGGAATTCTTGCGTACTGTTATCGTAGAGGTCGAAAGAGATCTGGTAGGCGACAGCGAGCGAGCGAGCGTCCCCCTTTTCAACTAGTTGACGGAGGATGACCGAGGCCATGGAATGTTCGTTGAGATATACAACACACTTGGCAATGGAAAAGTAATCGGGGGCCGGGATCTCGTTGAGGAGTTCAAGGATAAGTTTGAGGATCTTCAAAGCAAGGGTTAGCTCTGGGTGTTTTGCCATGATCATAATGGAGAATATACCTCGTTGCGGAAACCGCGTTCCTGCACGATCCCCATGCAGATATCGAGCACGTACTCCATGAGTTCTTCACTGCGTCGCGACTCCCCGTTCTGTTTCTTCTCATCCTCGCTGGCTCGGAGAATCGTCTTTCTAAGCACATCTAGGTTCTTGGCTTCAATAGCGATTCCAATGACTTGACGGTAGCGCTTCTGGACGAAGCACTGCTCGAATAGACGATCGATAACGGTTTGAAGGTGGCCCTGCACACCACGCTTCAGGACTAGAGGGGTCTCTTCGGCGTGCTTCACGCCCGCATCTTCACCCCCTGGGTAAGCAGCATCCACTCCGGGCACCTCTTGCCTAGACAAGAGCGACTTGGATGGCAATGCTGATTGCGAGAAGGGTGTGATCGGGGATGTCAAACTGGCAGAGGTACTCGTGGCGCCTTCGCCGGAGGTGGGGAAAGAGGTGTTCAGGTTGGCTTGCTGGTCACCCGCGACGGGCCGCTGTGCCGCCGAGAGAGAGACGAAGGTATCGACGCATTTCGCTGTGTATACCAGTAAGAGGACGCTCTCAGTGAGCAGAAGCTTGGGGGACCGTCGATCTTACCGATAATGGTTTCCTCAAACTCGCCACCGCTATCCAACTGGAAGAGCTTCCCAGCTCCCAAAGCAAATACCATACTCTCATTGTATTCTTGGAGGTGGTAGTACACCTTTGCGGCGACCAGGGCGGCGAGCTCGCGCTCGGGGAACGATTCATCTTCGTAAAGAGCTTCTCTGAATCGCAAAAGGTCAGCATCGATGGGGCCTGTAACCGGTGGACAGGATGGGGTATTTATGATGAAGGTATGAGGCAGATGGTGAGACAAGAGCCAGTACGAACATTTGAGGAACAGCATCCACGACTTCCGTCCAGAGCAGGTCGATTTGTGAGTCCAGCGTCTTCAGAGCAAAGACTCTCAACTCAGGATCCGGCTCAGAGAGAAAGCCGACGAGGCCAGCGGCCGAAGCGAGTCCAACCATCGCTGTGGGAGGACGGGAGTGCTGTCGCGAGGGGAGTGAGGCGACAGCTTCGACGGAGCTGTGAGATTGAGGGTAAGTCGTGGGTGAGTGGGTGGGGTGTTTATTGAAGATCTAAGCACCTCGAAGAACGAAATGTACAGAAAACGGGCGATGAAAAGGGTAAGGCAACAAAATAACAGATGATGGAAGAGATGAGCTCGGAGTGATCAGGAAGCTTCCTCCAGAGCAGCGAGACACACGTCAATGGAAGCTGTCGAAAGGTTCCCGTGGTTCCTGCAGAAACCCCTAGAGATGGCACGTGACCTATGATGGCATGAGACCGGACAGGGCAGTTGCACAAACACTCGTGATCTAGTCAACCACTTCACCATCACTTGGGTTCCGGGTTGTTGCTTTTGTTTTCTTTTAAGGATTTATGAGGAGAGGATTCTCATGCATCGGTAGTTCTCTGTTTTCCGCGATCAAGTTCCTCTAAAATGTCGTCGATCCTTCCGCAAGCTGGAGACAAACACCTGCCGGCCCTGCCTATCGGGACCTCTTCTCTTCACCAGGACCCTATCGTTTACATTGACCGCGAGGCCAGACATATTCAGCGTAATTTACAGATTCTAATCGATGCCCAGAGTGAAGGACTTCTGGCCAGTCTCAACGGCCCCCAGCAGAATGGCGCGATGTCCGATGGAGTTTATACACCAACCTCGGAGACAAGCAGTTCGCAGCGTCCCCCAACTATACCCATACGCCAACCGGCTCCGGAGAAGATCGGGCTGTCTGCTGCCCGAAAGGGGATATTCAGATCTATATACGACCTCTTGAGGCTTCGCGAGGAGGAGCGAGAGATACTAACATTCCGGATTGATGAAAGGACACAGGCGTTGGCAGATATTAATGGCTTTAACACCAATCGCGCTGGGCTAGAAAATGCCATCTCAACAATTCAGGATAACCGGGAAAGCCAGCACACCGTAGCCTTGCGCCAGGAGAGTCGCAAGCTTGAGGATGATATACATGAGTTGGAGACTAGGCTGTCCCAGATGAAAGCAAGACATCAACACATCCTTCGCGAATTGTCCCAAATGGAAAACTCTATTGAATCGAAACTTTCTTCTTACAGAGCCTCCATGTCGCTCCTAGACTCGAATATTCGAAAGTATCTTCAGAACCCGCCCGTGAAACCTCAAGATAGCAGCTCCAAAGACGCAAGTTTTTATTCCTTGAACCCTAAGCGGCGAACCCTCGAGATGGCAGAGGAACACTGGCAAAAGGAACAATCAGATTTGCGTGAAAGGCAACGGGAAGTGGATGCTGAGATCGAGGCCCTCGAAGCTGGAGGTGGGGTCTGGAAGCAAGTGATCGGAGAGGTTTCTGGTTTTGAGAAGCGACTCAAGTCAGCAATGCGTCTTTCTATCCAATCTCAATCGCAACTACTGAACCACGATGGCCCTTCTGGTAGCAAGTCCGAAGAGGACCTCGCTCGGGCAGTATTGGATGACCTGACGCATACCACAGAGCGCGTAGAAAATCATCTAGAGGTTGCAGAGAATAAAGACTGGAAATTGCTGGTTTGTTGCATCTCTGCGGAGCTGCAAGCGTTGCGAGAAGCACGGCAACTGCTATTGAATGTCTTCAATGTGACTGAAACAGACATTTCCCCGTCTGCCGAGAAAGGAACCTCGAACAGTATTCACACTTACGAGGATTATGACCCTCATGGAGATCCCCTAGGTGTTGACAACCCCGAGCCTCCGGCTGAGTTTCTCGAGGATACTGATGAGCACCATCATGGTACAGTGTCTCGCTCTGAGGATGAAGATGACGAGCCGGATCCCGCCTGGCTGCTCCCTGAATCATGAATTCATAGCTCACAGGCCTACCATTTGACTATAGACAGGAGCAAGGTGTCGGTTAGCGTAGTGATTTCGGGTAATACTTCTTTCTCTATTTGATGTCTAAACCTTGTCAGAGGGTTCATGATTGACCTGTATGCAGTCTGCAGGTTGCTGGCACTCCAGCTTAACCTACAACGATCAGTCCGCTATGCAGAGCCTCCTGCAGAAATCGGGATATAATATAGATTCTAATATTTGCTGTATGCCACATGTGCAGTGCGGTCTTCGCTATATTCCATTAATCCTGTCTACTTTGATAAATAGCTCGTATGGCATCGCTTATTCTCTTGGGCGGCGGGGCCAGAACAAGACCGGACTAGCTCCTTCCTGCAGCAGTCATCGTCTTTTGTCCTCATCCAAATCAGCCAGCAGCATAGAGCAAGATGACAATTACCATCGAAAGCCACTCCCAGTTTGTGGTGACCTGGGATTTGGCGTTGAAGAGATATACTGCGGCTGTGGGCAAACAGCTAGATGATCCCTCACTACCCCACCCCTCTTCAGTGGAAGAGTTGCTCAAGCGACTGGATAGTCGGAACGGCCATTTTGGCCAGTTTAGACAGAGGAAGCGCTCGCTTTTCGAGATTCTGACATGCATCTGCAATCCAATTGAACGCTTTGGGTCTATAGCTGCAAGCATTGCCTCTAACGCCTTTCCAGCCAGTAGCGTGTGCTTCAGCGCCATTACATATCTTATTGATGCTGCGAAAGATGTGTCGGCGTCTTATGATGCAGTCATGGCACTGTTTGTGACCTTGAAGGCAAGTCTATGTGTATCATATCACAAACCCTGCCAGACAGCGTGGTCTGACCCTCCTGAGAGAATATAGGACTTTCTTGTCCGCCTCGCCATCTACGACGGTAGTCGTATGTCGGATGCACTTCAAGCCAAGGTTGTTGATATCCTGGCTACCTTACTTGAGATCTTTGGTCAAGCGACTAAGATAGTTCGGGCTGGATTGAGAGGTCGAATCCTCCAATTTACCAAGAATACCTTGCTCGGTTCCGACAAAACACTACAGGGTCTGGTTTCCAAGTTGGACAGGCTCTGCCAAACAGAACACCAGTTAGTTGGAGCAGAGACTCTGGGTGAGACTAGAAAGACCAACTTAGCTGTTGAGAATCTGTCTGCAGTGCTTAATGGCGCTAGTCTTGTGTTAGAAGATAACCATGGGATGTTAGCCCAGGCTCAGGTGGATCTCCAACGTCTCGTCGAAGGTCAGAATGATCTTCGTCAGGATGTGCACCGAGACATCAGTAGCCTATTAGGTTCATTCATAGGGTCAGGTGCAAAGGCCAATGGTGATTCTGACTACCTGAGGACACTTTTACAGCCGTCAGTAGGCCCTTCAGACATGTATTACACTATCGCAAGAAAACGGCTGTCTGGAACTGGAGAATGGATAGAGGCAGAGGTGGGATTCCAGGCTTGGTTGAAACAAGAGCAATCCCTACTCTGGATCCATGGTCCTCCGGGTTGTGGCAAGAGCTTTCTCGCGGAATACATTATCTCGAATCTGAAGACAAGATTTCCCCAGGGCGTCGACCAAGGCTCAAAAGTCTCTGTTGGCTACTATTTCTTCAAGGATAACAACCCACAAACTAGAGGATTGCACCAGGCGTTCCGGGACGTGGCATTTCAAATCTGCCTCAATGATTCGGTATATGCCGGACACGTTGCAACTCATTGCAGCGCACCCGGTGATATATGCAGTCTTCAGAGCGCATGGATGACGCTGTTCCGGGACTACTTTCTTGAGGATGATGCAGGTAGCCGGCATGCCTATATCGTTCTAGACGGTCTGGACGAATGCATGGAGGCCGACAGGCAGAGTCTTTTGGAGTTTCTGTCTGAGCTTACAGCTGATGAAGCTGGCAGTAAGTTTCTAATGGACCTGCCGTCTGCCCGTCGGAAGCTAATTTGAGTCTACCTATGCGCAGGCAAACCCAGGGTACAGTTCGTTATGCTGGGACGACCCCACCTTTCCGCTGATGTAGCCGATGCCTTGCAGGAGTCAGTCGCCTCCATCTCTATAGATCGATCTAAGAATGATGATGATATCGCTCGCTACGTTGAGCATTCTTTGAGGAGGTCTAGGAACATCTCTCGTGCGCCTCCAAGCCTGCGCAAAGAAGTCATGGAAATTCTTGTGAAGAACGCACAGGGCATGTTCCTTTGGGTTGACCTAATGACCCAAGAGTTGGGGCGATATAATCGAGCGAGCAGTGTCAGGGAGTGCTTGCAACGACCGCCGAAGGGTCTGTATGAGGCCATGAGACGTACCCTGGAAGGCCTAAGCGCTTATTTGAAGGGCGATGATCCTGAAGAACTAAATATCATCTTGGGCTGGGTTGCGTGTGCTTCGCGTCCTCTTTCTCTTCGAGAGATCGAGGCCACGCTGAGTCTGGGTTCCTCTGACCCAGAGGAGATCGTCGGCATCGAAAGTTTGCTTAGGTTGCAATTTGCGTCCTTTCTGACACTCGTCCGAGATGACGGCCTGACAACCGCCGACTTGCAGGCGGAAATAGATGTATCTTCTCTTCGGATCGATGACGATCATTATGAAGATGCGGAGTCTTTCGAGCTAGAAACCGACTTCAATTCCAACCCAGACACAACGGAAGTCACGTTCCGCCATGCGTCGGTTGGTGATTTCTTTCGTGACGAAAACGAGAATAAGCTCTCTGCAGGCCCCGACTACGTGGCCATTGGTGTTGATATTGTTGAGTCTAGAATATCAACGCTGAAAGCGTGTCTACGGTTGGTTTGCAACTTGACCGAATGTCCGAACCTCGGAAATTATGCACTTGTCTGGTGGCATAGCCATGCCAAGGCTGTCATCCCTCACATTCATCGAATTGGGGAGACCGACCGGCAGGAAATCGGGAGCCTCCTGCTCAAAACACTCCGTGATGAATCCGTGCTGGAGGCTTGGATCAGTTTACGGGATGCAGATAACTTTTGGTCTTTGGAGACTTTGGATCCATTCTCCAAGCTCTTGGATAATAAGCAGTTCGTGGACTGTTTGCCGGTGGATATACGCGACTGGGTATTGAGCAGTATCCAGGAGCCCGCAAGGCTGCTCGTTCCGGCTGCGGAGTGCATTGCTAAGAAATGGCTCCAGGGCTACCAATGGGATGCACGTACATGTATGCTGATCATATATCGGATCAGAGGCCTGCTTGAAGGCCAAGCAGACGAAAAAGTTCCCGACAAACCTGCTGCCTCAACTGTGCTTGATGCGGCAGAATGGGCCAAACTTCCAAAAACCGCAGAATGGAACCGGAGAGTTGCCATTTGCCTGAGGGACATGTCACACTATGAGGAAGCCCAGGCCTATTTTGAAGCGGCATTAGAACTGGACAATCAAATGTGGCTCGCTAGAAGCGGTCTAGCATATCTGTACAGTCTCAGTGAACAACATGAGAAATCTCTGGAGCTCTACAGAGAAAATATTGAAATATTGGAGGCGGCCTCCGAAAACCCTGAGAAGCGCGATACGCTCCCTCATGATGTTGAAGACTATGATCTTGCAGACACCTACCAGTCTGTAGGCGAAGAACTGCTGTCACTCGGAGATAGAACCAGTGCTTTGGTCTATCTGGAAAAGGCTCTGGATGTCACCACAGAGGGCAAGTTCCTCTCTAAGTACATCCAGCTCCTTGCAGAAGAGAAGACTCCTGAGAGCCATGAGAAAATCATACAGCACCTGAAAAGGTTAGACACTGCGTCTGGTGACAATGGTGCCACACGCCTGACAGAGTCTCTCTCGGAGAATTCAGGAATGGTCTGGACGAGTGACTTCTACCAGGCCATCGCGTTTGCTGCCAGAGCGACAGATGAGCTCGAATGGCTAGAAGATGCTTACATGACAGCGATTGAGGTAGCAAAAAAACAGCGCAACTCAGTATTGGCGTTTTCTCTGCAAGTGTCTTTGGCAGACCTCTTCATCAGCTATGACGACAAGGAATCCCGCGCTCTCGAGATCTGGCAGATGGTGATGGACTTTCCCGCAACATTCATGCAGGGGAACCTGCTGATGCTATATATACAATCGCTAGTGAGCAGATACTATGGCGCCTATCTCCTTACCAGGGCCATCCAAGCCGGACCCGGCACTGTAGAGGCCGAACGCTATATCCACACATTACAACGGATTGCTAAACGAAGAGTGGTCCATTCAGACCATGTCTCCGAATGGGCTGCCAACAACTTTGCCACAGCCATCCTTGGTTTGTGGTATCACCGAATCGATCAACCCGAGAAGGCCCGGGAATATACTCTCCCGTTCGTCAAGCAATTTATTCATGCCGATACCGATGCGATAGGTACGTACACAACCAGCTACGCCTTTGCAAAGCTGTTACTCATGATGGGTGACGAGTCTACTGCGGTGGCCATCCTTATCAGCGTCAGTTGTCCGGAGGAAACAGCTTGGATCTGCGAAGCCCGATGTGGAGTGTCGTCTTCGACGTGGGAAAAGGGGAATATTTGCCGCGAATGCGCGGTCGATCTGTGTGACGACTGCGTACGGCTGGTGAAGGAGGGGAAGCCGACCAGGGCCAATATCTGTAGTTCGGATCATTCGTGGGCTCGGATTCCGGAGCCGTCTGCTCCTCTGGGACCTGATGATGTGCGTGCGGAAGAGATGGTCTCGATAGGAGACCTGAAGAACAAGGTTAAGAAGCAGTGGGGGCTGTGATGGGAGTGTGGCTGCTGCTTTGATTATGTGGCAGCTATACATATAGGACTATACTTTCTGCTAGTAGCTGACTGTTCATATAAATAAATCAAATATTTCGTTGGAATAATAAAATCAGGGCTATCATTTGGAAATATCCACATCGCAGTGAGATAGTATATTTTGCACCCAATGAAGATGCACCACTGCTGATTAAGAACATGAAAAGAAAAAGAAAATTGCACTGCTCAGTAGTAGATCAAAAGTTTAATTATCCCATCCAGCCAGCCTCATCCCTAATAATGATGGTCATCCCCAAATGCCCGCATCTCATGATCTCCAAGCAGAAATAGAAATGTCTCCTCGAATGACCGCCAAATTAAACTGACCGACCGACCCAACCAAGACACACTAGACTAGTAAATTAACTTAGTTTGGCTACTAACTACCCGTTCATCAACCCACCCCACTCACCACTTTAACCACCTTTATTCATCACCAT